CAAGTGTAAGGGCCTGAGTTCAATCCCCAGTTCCGCAAAAAAAAAAAAAATATAATAACTATTAGACTTCCACCAATCATGGTGGCATACATTTATAATCCTAGCACTCAGGAGGCTGGGAGGCTGAGGCAGGAGGAGCACTGTGAGCTAGAGGTCAACCTGGGTTACACAGGGAGTTCAAGGCCAGCCTAGACTACATAGTGATACCTTGTCTCCAAAAAAAAAAAAAAAAGAATTATCAAGAATAGATTTGTGGGGGCTGGTGAGATGGCTCAGTGGTCTAAAGCACCTACTTAGAACAAGCTTAGCAAAGCTCAGGGACCACGGTTCAATCCCCCAGCACCACATGCCTGCCAGCCCCGTCCCCTGGTGGGCTGAGGGGGTCTCACACACACACACACAAATAAATAAATAAATAAATAAAATAGAATAGATTTGTTGCTTTTCTATATAGTCTGTTGACCCAATATAAAAATCAAAACAATCTAAACACTTTTTAGACAGAAAAAAAAATCCCAAAATCATATTCAAAATAGCTTAGAAGAAAGACTAATGGGTATACACATTTTTATCTTCTTAAAACTTTCTAATATTCATTGCCTACACAATAGGTTAAATTTAAGAGAAATCATTTTTTCCTACAGCAGCTGGCAAATATATATCACTGAGCAAATAATAAAGATTTATAGCCAGGCACAGTGGCACATGCCCATAATCACCCAGGAGGCTGAGTTAGGAGGATGGATATAAGTTCAAGGCAGAGCCAGCCTGAACTATATGCAGAGCCTGTCTCAAAAAAACAAACATTTATAGAGACCTAGACAATAAAGCAAAACAACACTGCCTATAAGAAAAGCAGTAATAGGAACCACACATGCAATCCCAGCGCTTGAGAGGCTGACACCGGATTGCTACAAGTTCGAGACCAGCTTGGGGGTTACAAAAGTGAGTACAAGGCTAGCTCAAACTGCAGAGTGAGACCCAGTCTTAAAAAAAAATCAGTGAGGCATGGGGCAATGTAAAAAGGGCAAAGCTGAGTTATTTTAAGCAGAAGAGTCATGTCACTGCTTTATCTAAGTTAACAGCACAAACAATGTTACAGTTTTGTTGTTTTTTAACTGGGAATTAAACTCAGGATCTTGCATTTGTTAGGCAGGTACTGTGCCAATGACCTACATCCCTGGCCCAAGAACAGTTTTATGAAACTGTATCTGTATTAATTATGAAATATACAATGACTTGAAGGTGAGCACCAGAAAATAAAGACAAATCCCATCCAGATACACTAAGCTTCAAACCTGAATTTTGTGGCATCCTTCCCAAACCAGAGTCAAAAGGCCAAAATTAACATCTGCCTTACATCAATGCGCAGTCCTTTTTTAAATTTGAGAATAAGACAGACAAGAAAGTATGCAGGGCCAGCTAAAGAGCTCACTGGACTAAAGCGCCTGCTTAGGCAGATGCAGAAGCGCAGAGGCTGGGGTTTGGCCATTCTAAGAAGCACACTGAGCAGGCAACTGGACTGGGCGTGGTGGCACGCGCTTGTAATCCCAGCTCTTTGGGAGGGTGAATACAGGAGGATCACTACAATTCCGATCTATTAGTGAGACTCTGTAGACCCTTACTAAAATACAAAATAATAATAATAATAATAAAAGAAAGTAAATGAATTTTTTCTTACTTGAAAACTTCTTTGGTGAGAGACTGGTCCAGAGTTTGAAACAAAAAATAAGAAACTATGTGAAAGGCATCTCGGTTCAGCTTATCAAACATGTTCCTAGTGATTTAAATGAAAAAGCAGGATGAGAAAAAGGAAAGGACTGGTAAAACCGAACACTGCCCATGGGCACAGCTCTCGCACAGCAAGTGAGGGCCCCCAAATCGGGTCTCCAGCTCTCCCCCAGAACAACATGAACCAAACCACGTAGCATTACAACTTAGCATTACAACTGTCTGGCTTACGTTCCCAAGCCTATCCACGAGTGGAACATCTACGCCTCAAGGAATACAAAAAGCTCCACCTATCCCACTTCCCTACCACCTCTCAAACCCAGTATTTGCTCACAGTACTCTCTATGACACGATTTGTAATATGGAATCTGGGGTAGATTTATTCACCAATCTGTAAGGGAAAAGTCTCTATTTCTTCTGCCCACCAATATATGCCCAGTCCATTACTACAGTGAGCATCTGTCTGCCAGAGAAGTGGCCACATTTGTACACCCAGCACTCTAGGGGCTGAAACAGGAGGATCACAAGTTCCAGGTAAATCTGGGCTGCATTTAGACCCTGTCTCAAAAATAAGTAAGTATCCACTGAATGTCAACAAAAAGTCACTTCTCTTTCCATTCCCACTGCCAGCTTAAGTTTAGGCCTGGTGAAACCTTTCTTCCACTTCTAATCCATTGTCTGTAATGCAACCAGTATTTTTCCAAAATGTAATAAATACTTCAGGGCAAAATACTCTAGAAGGGACTACTGAGTCATACATTGAGGATCATTCAGGTTTTGTCTTTTGAGACAGGGTCTAGCAATGCAGCTGAGGCTAGTCTGGAGTTCACTTTGTAACCTAGGTGGTCTTGAACTCACAGTGATCTTCTGTGTCAGCCTCCCCAGGGCTCGGGTCACAAGTGTGTGCCACCATGTCCGGCTCTGCTTTTTTTTTTTTTTTCCAGAACCGGGCATTGAACTCAGGCCTTTGCGCTTGCCAGGCAAGCACTTATTCTACTGAGCCATCCCCAGCCCATCTGCTTTTCTTAATACCCTTCCCTACTAGTTTGCCAAGTTTGGCGTGCGTTAGTGCGTTAGTGTCCTTACTCAAAAAGTCCCCGCGCCCACCTGCAACCTCCAGCATTCCTATGCTGCCCCGCACTTACCCGCACCCATCCACACCTGCACCCATCTCTGCGCCCTTCCGCACCCACCCTCTCCTACGCAGCCCCGCGCCCACCGCACCGTCCCCGCACCCGTCCCCGCACCCATCCCCGCACCCACGAGCATCCGCACCAGTCCCCGCACCAGTCCCCGCACCCACCCGCTCACCTATGCAGCCTCGCACCCATCCCTGCTCCCACCCACTCCTACGCAGCCCAGCGCCCTCCCGCGCCCATCCCTGCACCCATCCCTGCACCCACCCCCACCCACACCAGTCCCCGCGCCCACCCGCGCACCTACGCAGCCTCGCACCCATCTCCGCTCCCACCCACTCCTACGCAGCCCCGAGCCCTCCCGCGCCCACCCCCGCGCCCACCCACGCACCTACGCAGCCTCGCACCCATCTCCGATCCCACTCACTCCTACGCAGCCCCGCGCCCACCCGCAACCGTCCCCGCGCCCTTCCGCGCCCATACCCGCACCCACGCGCACCCGCACCAGTCCCCGCGCCCACCCGCGTACCTACGCAGCCTCGCGCCCATCTCCGCTCCCACCCATTTCTACGCAGCCCCGTGCCCACCCGCACACGTCCCTGCGCCCTACCGCGCCCATCCCCGCACCCATCCCCGCATCCACGCGCACCCGCACGAGTCCCCGCGCCACCCGCGCACCTATGCAGCCTCGCACCCATCCCCGCTCCCACCCACTCCTACGCAGCCCCGCGCCCCCCAGCGCCGCCACGCAGCCACGCCAGTCCCCGCGCCCGCCCGCCCCGCCTCCTTACACGCCGAGGTGCGCGTGCGACGCGAGCTTCCCGCTGGCCGCGGCCGCGGGGCCGGGCTCGAAGCCGAGCGCCCGCAGGTACATCCAGAGGTGCTGCTTCTCGAAGGACGCGAGGCCGCCCGCGCTCATCTTCACGGCGGCGAGGCGACTTCACGGAAAGCGCGGCACGAGCGGCCGAGAGGCTGTCGGGACCTCACCACAGGCCGCCGGAAGCCGCGGCGGGCGCTCCCTCCCCGCCGCCCGCCGCTCGCTCGCGCCGGGCCATGGCAGGCCGAACGGCCGAGAGGCTCAGGAAACGGAACGGTCAGAACGGCCGAGGCGGGGCCGCCACAAAGCGAGCCTCCCGCGCTTCCAGAAGAGCTGCGCGCATGTGCGCCGGCTTCCGGGAACGAAAGCCCGCCCGGAAGACTACGGCTCCCGCGATGCAGCGCGCCCGCCGCCCGTCCTGCCCGGCCGCGGAACTACAAGGCCCAGAGTGCATTGCGCGGCCGGCTGGCGAGCCCTTGCCCCGCCTTCCTCCGTTCGTAAGGTTCACTGTTTCTTTCCTCCTGCTGTACATGATTAAGTTAAATGAAAGCTTTAGAGTACTGTGGCTCAGTGCAGTAAGAAAGCCATCTTGGCCGACCAGTGAGCCAACCTCTGAACCCCAGCTGTCGTTAGTGAAAGGTGTATTCTAGAAGGCTGCACCCACGCCCGAGATCGCCGCTCGGGGCTAGGACGGGTTCAGCCCGGCAGCAGGAGAAGGCCGCGAGTTCCTTCCTTCCTTCCTTCCTTCCTCCCTCCCTCCCTCCCTCCCTCCCTTCCTTCCTTCCTTCCTTCCTTCCTTCCTGTGCCCGGTCGCACCCCAGACCTTCCGCGCCGCCGAGCTGCCACGGGGCCCTCCGCTGAGCTTTTCCCGGCAGCACGCTCCAGCCCAGCCCGGCTCGCGCAGCACTGGGGCGTGGCTACGGGGTGCTGTCTGGCTCCACGCCGCCGGCTCTGGCAGTTGCTGCCTCCTGTGAGGCGGCACTGAGCCCAGCCTCCGGGAAGCCTGTGCCATGCCCTGTCACCCCGCTTTCTGGAGGTCAGCTAGGTCCCTCCGGAGAGCTGGATCTCAGTTCGAGAACTCAGCGTAGTTCTCTCTCCCCAGCGTGGCTCCTGGAGTGTGCTGTGTCTGCACTGGTGTCCGCGCAGATAAGCTTTGCAGTACCTTACTTCTCAGTTAATTGTTCTCTTCTCCAAAAGCCACACCATCTTCTGCGCTCGGCCAGCCTCCTACTCTCATGATCCTCAACCTGGAACTTAGCAATATCTGCAACACCTTCATCATCTCAGTCACAACCTGATTTTCCATCCCGGTCCCTCTAGATCTTATTTCAAGAGTCCCTAAACCACCAGAATCTCTAACCCTTTTCTCTCTGCGTTTCTTGCCATTGTTACAGTCGTTAACTTCAACAAATCATCAGCTCTTTAGGCCCTTTCTCTTTGATGGATGTTTTGGCAAAATGTGAATCGTGTGAAATCCAGCTCTCGGGCTGGGGAGATGGCTCAGTGGAATAAGCGCTTCCCTGGCAAGCACAAGGGCCTGAGTTCAATCCCCGGTTCTGGAAGAAAAAAAAAAAAAAATCCAGCTCTCTACCTAGTCTACTTCTGCAATTTAGCAGATAAGGGACAATTATGCCTGTTCACACTCAAAATTGATAACTCAAATTCTAGGCCTGCCCCTGAACACAAATTCTAGGTATTTTCTCAGATACCTCCCTCACTCCTCTCTCTGTCAAACACAAAATGAATGCACAAATTTAAATGTACTTATGCACTTCGATCTGTTGTATCTCTGGCCTATATTTTATGGTTTGTGATGTCTACCCATAGCCTCATCTGGTCATAGACGGGGCTTTTGCAGAGTTGTCTGGACAGAGTGTGTGGATTGTGTGGGATTGATTCATGGCTCAATGCTAGGATCCAGGGTGTGGGTGCCACCCACCCTGAGTGGCCTGGATAAGATATAAGGGACAGAAAGCTCTGTGGTCGTCTCCTGCTGCTTTGCTGCCTTCTTTCCACCATGAACTTTTTCTCCTCTGTGGTGTCCCTCTGCTGTGCCACCCTGCCTTGGCGCCTGGCGATTGTGGACTGAAACCTCTACAGACTAGGAGTTAAATAAACCTTTCCCCTTGAATTTTGGTTGCCAAGTGTTTTGTCTCAGCAACAACAAAAGTAACCAAGACACCATATTATATTGTCCCGTATATGACCAATGAGAATCGCTTTAAATTGGCTTTTTCAAGGAGGTCTAAGCACATTTTGTACATTTTCTGTCTCAGACCTGGAATCAGCCATTTCTTAAGGAAACTTTTGCTTCTTTTATCAGGAAGTGGTGTTTTGTGACCACAACCTGGACAGTAGGGATATTCATAGCTACCGGGTTGGCCACTGTTGTTGGGGACCACAAATTCACAATGGCTAATTTGGCATATTTCCCTAAGGGATGATTGAACCCTGGGACTACTGGCGTCACCCTTTTGAGATTTCCCATAAACTGTTTAGGCATGAGCCATCCTCTCCCACCCACTAAGACTAAACTAAGACCACTGTTATAGTTTGTGTCTAGCTGTCCCCCCAAAGCCTCATTCATGGAGAGGGCTTCTAGAGATTTTGATTAATTCATTATGCAGTGCTGGGGTTACGGGTGTGAGTGCTACACCCGGTCTGGAACAGATACCAACAGATGCCCCGAATGCACCATAAGGGAGACAGACTTGCTCTCTTGCCACTGCTGCTGCTGCTCCTGCCTCTTGCCTTTGCCCTTTGCTGTTTTCCACTGCCACAGCTGCTGTCCTCTGCCCTGTGCCCCTCTGCCTTAGAGCCAGCCGAGTATGGACTGAAACCTTCACTGTGAGCAAAATAAACCTTTCCTTCTTTGATTTGGGATGTTGGGCATTTTGTCCCAGCAATGAGCGAACAATAACTGAGACAACCACTAAGATGATGATGAGGATGATGAGGATGAGGATCATAATGCAGTATCAGGAATTGAATCAGCACCTCATACTTGCCAGGCAGGTGCTGTGCTGCTGAGCTATCTCCCTAACCCAACCAGTAATAGTAAAAAACACTCCAGGGCAAGATCCTTCTTAGCATAAGGTCATCTTCCTCTGACCTGGACATGGAATCTCCCACCCCCTACATAAGTCCCACCCACTAAGACTAAACTAAGACCACTGTTATAGTTTGTGTCTAGCTGTCCCCCCAAAGCCTCATTCTCTAGGAGAGGGCTTCTAGAGATTTTGATTAATTCATTACTAAAATTGTCTCTTCATAATACTAAATTTGTCTCTTTGTTTCTTATTCCATACTTTGCTGGACCTCCTCATACAAGCAGCTGGGGGTCTTGGCCAGGTCCCCGGTATATGGGATTAGTCATTGTTTCTACAATTTACTTATATAATTTAGACTTATTTGATGTTATTTGGGGCCAAGCACTGCTCTGAGCATTCATAAATGTTAATAATTTAATCTTGATAAAAACCTAGCACAATTGTCATTTTCGGGTGAGAAAATAGAGGCAGTGAGCTATTAAGGAATCATATTGGGTCACACAGGAAGGGGCACAGCAGGATTATACAGCTGGAGGTGGTGGTGCCTGCCTGTGGTCCCAGCACTCAGGAGGCTGAGGCAGGATGATGGCCATGAGTTGAGGCCATTCTGGGCCACAAAGTTCAAGGCCAGCCTGGACTACACAGCGAGACCCTGTCTCAAAAATCGAGGTCTGAGCCCTCGCCCAACGTGCTGTGCCCTCCCCGGTCACCCTGTTTGTTCACTCACATGCCCCCCTCTTTCCAGGCTAAGGGAAAGCAAACCCATCTTTACTGGGGATTGAACCCAGGACCTTTATTCACTGAGCTACATCCCCAACCCCACTTTTTTTTTTTTTTTTTTTTTTGAGAGTGGCTTGCTCTGTAATTCAGGCTAGGCTTAAACTCACTTTCTAACCCAGCCCGGCCTCCAACTCTTGGTGACCTACTGTCTCAGCCTCCCAAGAGAGCTGGGATCACAAGTGTGTACCACCATGCCTGGCTCATCTTTTCTTTTTCTTTTTTCTTTTTTGTATTTACCACAGAGTCTACAGGGTCTCATTACACAGATCAGACTTGTAGTGATTCTCCTGTTTTCAGCCTGTCAAGAGCTGCCCAGTCTCAACTGCTGTCTCAGTGCCCCCTGGGGGCCAGGCTGGCATGGCATGCCCAGGATCGAACTCAGTCCCTGCGTGTGCCTAAGCAGGCACTGTAATCCACTGAGCTATCTGGCTGGTCCCCCAGCCCTTTTAAAAATGTTTTTATTTTGAGCCAGGCCACTCTGAACTGCATAGTAAAACCCTGTTTCCAATTTTTTTTTTAATTTTGAGATAGGGCCTACCTTAGTTACATGGGCTGGGCTGACACTTGTGAGTCTCAGCCTCCCAAAGGGCTGAGCTAACAGGCACAGGCCACACCTAGAAAAAGCCAAACCTTGACCAGTAGGCAGAGCCACTGAGATCCCAAAGACGTAAGTAGGGGCTATGCTATCAAAAGAAGCAGGCCTGGCTCCTTAGGGACCCCCTCAAAAAAAAAAGTTCAATAAAAGCAAATAAACAAAAAACCCACTCTGGGGCCAGCCAAATAGCTCAACTGCTTCAAGGGTCTATAAACAGGCGCAGGGGGCGGGGGTCTGATCACCAGGCCTGCTGTGCCAGCCCCGCCCCTGGGGCCTGCTGAGATGACAATTGAGACTGGGCATGGTAGGGCATACCTGCAATCCCAGCTCTGGGAGGCTGTAAACAGGCAGACCACTAGGAGTCCGATCTAGTAGTGAGACCCTGAACACCCTTGTAGACCCTTCCCTAAAATACAAAAACAAGTAAATAAATAAAACCCACTCTGATTCAAGTTATAGGCTCAATTTTTATTACAGGCTTTGTAACAAACTTTTGCCGGCATTGAGGGAGGGCTCACTGCGCAGTCCCAGGCGGCCTCCAAGTCTCAGCAAGCCTCTTGCCTCAGCATCCTGAGTGCTGGGACTCCGTGTGTGCACCCACCAACACGCCCAGCCTCAGCAATTCAACTTTGAAGGATTACACAGAAAAGGTCTTACGGAAGTTAAACCAATCAGGTTCACTACAGTTAAAAATCAAGCACCAGAACAGGGAGTAGTACGCCCACATGCCACAGGAATATATACAGGAGCACACGTGAAGTTTAATGTGATACAAATTTTATATTCAAACAAAAGCAGCATTTTACATTAGGTACTCAGTGCCTCGCCCCAGAGGACCGGTCGCTGGCACGTGACCGATTTGCTGCCTCCTCCTCCTCATCCCAAGGTATAATATCCGGAATTTCGTCCGCCTCCGACGTCAGGTCTGTGGCAGGGAAACCAAACACCTGTAGGAGAAGACTGTGGCCGTCACACACCGGCCAAGTGAACGCCCAGGCCCACGCGGCCTCAGAGGAGCAGAGGCGGCCTTTGCGTAGGCCGGCCACGCCTCAGACATCAACAAAGGGGGGGTGGCCCTCCAAGCCACAGGTGCTGGGCAAGCACTAATGGATCGCTCTCCCTTCTTCCCTCCCTCTCTCCCTCTCTGTTTTCTGAGACAGGGTCTTACTCTGTGGCCCAGGCTGTACTTGAGCTCTTGATCTATCTGCCTCTGCTGCCTGAGTGTAAAATGTTTATTTTTTTTAAATTATTTTTCTTTATTTATTTTTAATATTTATGTTGGGGGGGGCCAGCTCAGCCCACCAGGGAGCGGGGCTGGCTGGCATGTGGTGCTGGGGATTGAACTGCAGTCCCTGTGCTTTGCTTAGCTTGTTTTAAGTAGGTGCTTTAGACCACTGAGCCATCTCACCAGCCCCTAACATGTTTCTTTAAAAGGAAGCTAACACCTATAATCCCAGCCCTCGGGAGGCTGAGGCAAGAGGGTCACTGAGACCAGCCTGGGCTGCAGAGTGAGGTCAAGGCCAGCCTGAACTGCATAGGGAGAGCTTGTCTCAAAAATCAAATCAAAACAAAACAAAAAAAGCAGGGCTGAGGATGTAGTTCAGCAACACAGTGCCTGCCTGGCAAGCATGAGGACTTTTAAGTTTGATTCCTAGTATAAATAAATAAAATTTAAAAAAACAATTTAAAAATGAAATGGCTACAATGGTAAGCCTGGTACGGTAGGCTGCGGAGGAGCATGGATTAGAGCCCAGTCTAGCCCACCTAGTAGGTCAAGGCCAACCTCAGCTCCACCAGAGACTGTCTTAAAATATCAAAACTAAAATGAAACAGTACATTTGATATTATGTCTAACGTCAGACCCAAATGAACACTGTAAGGAATAGTTTTTTAAAAAGGCCCGGGCTTCAAGGCGCATTGGAGGCCATTCTGGACTGCAGGACTGCAGACAGTCTGGCACAAGAGCGCGCTCTGGTTGTCCCCCACAGTCTGTGGCTTCCTGCACTTCCCCGGGGGCCCAGGGCCAGCACTGGGAGGCTGAAGTGGGAGGACACGAGAGAGCGCGGGAGCCCAGCCCGGGCAGCCTAGGAACTTGGGAGGCCGCACAGCAACACAGAAATAAAGGAATTCGAGGAAGGACAGGAGGAAGGAGAGGAGAGGAAGTGAAAAGAGCAGGCTGTGGCGTGTGGACTAGACATACTTGCAAGAAGTCCCAAAGGAAAACCCCTCTGGAGAGTCCTGCCCCTCGCTCCCTTCTCTCAGCCTTACACAACACTGCACCAGCAGCCCGGGTTGCTGGCCAGCCTAACTCCTGCCCACTGGGGCTGGAGACCCGGAGCCCTGAGCCAAGGCCCGCGCGGACCCCAGGCCTGCGGGCTCCAGCTGCCTCCCTCTCGCTGCACCCCCATCTTACTCCAGGACAGCAGCGCCCCTACACTTAGGGTTGGGGCTGCAGCTTCCTCATGATAAAGCTGGTCCTTGCTGTAGGACTGTCTCTCCTTTTTCTTACAAAGCTCCTTATGTACCATACACATATGCTAGCAAGTGTTCTCCAGGAAGGGCTGGGAATAGAGCTCAGGGCAAGGGTCCTGGGCTCAATCTCCAGTGCCACGGAAAAACCACCTATTTTCTATTACATGTATATTTCAATGTCCAATAAACTACTTGGTTGTTGTGTTTTGTTTTTTTGAGACAGGGTCTAGTAGGCAGTTCAGGCTGGCCTCAAAATACAGCAATCCTCCTGCCTCAGCCTGCAGCGCTGGGATTACAGGTGGGCGCCACATCAGGCTTATTTGCTCTATTAATGTCTGTTTTACTATCTTACTAGGTCTTATTTATGGAAAGGAATAGTTAATGCTTAATTTTTTTTCTCTTAATTTCTTTAACATTTCCCCCCAATTTTGCATGTCTATATCTGGTAATCTAAACAACTAATTTGAAGACAACACTATGTAATGCAACAAATATTGCTGAATTCAGATTTCGTGAAATTCTGTATCATTTCTAATGGTTTTCTATTATCATTATTTTGTATTCTCTTTAAAAATATAAAAGATGACAATAACTAAATCTTATTATCACTATTTTTACCCAGCATAAAAAGCAACAGGCAGCTGTCACACAGAGAATAGAAGCAGAGGGGTGGGGCTGGGGAAATAGCTCAGTAGAATAAGCGCTTGCCTGGCAAGTTCAGGGGCCTGAGTTCAATCCCCGGTTCCACCAAAAAAAAAAAAAAAAAAAAGCAGAGGTATTTTCTGGGCCACAAAGCAGGAAGCTGTAACAATGTTAGGATGGAGATGCCCATCTCGATAAGAGCTTCTAGCGGCCAAAACTTCCAGCTCTACCTCCCAAGTGAGGATGGACTCGCGGGCAAAGGCAGCATGAGCCCCCTTTGTGAAAGGTGCTCAGTAAACAGGAATTTTTGCATCTTTTTGAGACAGGGTCTCTCTGTTCAGGCTGGCCTCGAACTCCCAAAGACAATTCTGCCTCTGCCTGGAGTGCTGGAATACAGGCATGCATCACTAGGCCTGGCTATTTTTAATTCCTTAAGTACCAACACACACACACACACACACACACACACACACACACACACAAATATCCCTTCCAAAGTCATACATGGGCCAGGCAAGGGAGATTTCTGTACAGAATGTTGGAGGCTGCATACTCAGCTTTGGTTTTGTGACTACCACCAATACACAATTCTAGCCTCCAAGACGGTGTGCAAGAGCCACAGGTACAGTTTCCTCGCAGTCTGCATGTCCAGAATAAGTCAGGGTCGCATTTCCCCTAGACAATCTCAAATGTCAGCTTGTCACTGCACTTCACTGTGACAGTGTGGGCTGGGAAGGAAACAGGAGCTAGGGGCAGCCAGGGTCTTCACAGTGACTTTCATTTACCCCTTTGTGCTCTTGCCTGACCCATCTGCACAGGGCTCTTCAGCAAGGTAGCACAAGTATCATTTCACAGATTTGTAAAATAAATCCCCATTTCACTGATGCAAACAAGAATAGCTGCAGAGCATCAGAGCAGGAAGGTAAAGTGCATTTTGCTGCAAAGATGGTCAGGGACCCAGGCCGAATCGCAATCCCAGGCATGCTGTGACATTGCTGAGGCCAGAGCCCCTCCCTGCAAGGACAGAGCTGACAACGCATTCTTTCCAAGATAACCCAGCTGCAGGCTAGCATCCCAGGACACTCGCGGGGTGCTCACGGAGATCCTCGGGGGGCACCGCACCCCGCACCTACCGTGGACATCACAGGCCCAGCATCCTTACGACAGATGTCCAGGAGACGGCACTGGCCGTGTTCAGGATGCAGGGTCTGCTTCTCATGGTCTCATTTGTTCTTCATGGTGGTGGTGGTGCACTTTGAACCCAAGGTCTCCGACTGAGCTACCTCCCCAGGCTTCGTAAATCTTGAGCCGGTGGGTAAGTTCCTCAGTGGCCCAGGCTGGGCTCGAATTTGCAATCCTCTTGCCTTACCCTTCCTGAGTGGTAGAACTGCAGGTGTAAGCCACCCCAGGCAGCTAGCGCGTGCTTGTCCTAACCTTCACAGCTTGGGCCAGTGGTGGCCGTACGAACAGAACGCCACGTGCGGCCCACTAACCTGCAGACCAAGGTGAGTGTGTGCGGCACTGACAACACAAAACCAGAACACTGCATTTATTTTTACGGCACAATGCATGTTCTTTCGTTATATAAAAGTAACTGAATGTGTGAGGCTACGGCAGGCTCACACGTGAGGTAACGGTTAGCCCTGACACCAATTCTGGAAAGACTAACCTTGCCCAGTTAGCTTCTTTTTGCATTACGAGGGGTTGAGCGGGACCTTGCGCTTGCCAGCCGAGTTCGCTTTGAACGGAAACTTTCCTGTGACGCACACGGGCTCGCCTGCACACTCTCAAGCAAGGGCCAGAGCACTGCAGCTCTGCTGTTCCTCCTCACCTGCACTGAACAACGGGAGCGGCCAGGGTTGGCGCGCACGCTTCCCGAGGCATGAAGCCTGGCACACTAGTGCTTATTCTAGTAAAGTGAGGATGTAGAGTTCTCGGACGAGGGGGCATGCTAGCCCTGAAGGCAACGGTAAAATGATTGTTATCACGTACAGCGTCTGGGTAGTCATGTTTGTTGTCTTTTGGGGGTCTCACTATGCAGCTCAGGCTGGTCTTGAGCTCACTTTGTAGCCCAGGCTGCCCTTAATCAATCCTCCTGTCTCAGCCTTCTGAGTGCTGGGATAACAGGCATGCACCACTAGGCCTGGCTTGTACTTTTTCATTTTGAGGCAGGGTTTTGCTAAATTGCCCAGACCGAACTCAAACTTCTAGTCTTCCTTCCTCGGTCCCTGAGTACCTGGAACTGTAGCCATGTCATGTGCCACCATGGCTGGCTATGTGGGGACATTTTTTTTTTTTTTTTAATAGTTTATTTATTTATTGTGTGTGTCTGTGTGTGTGTGTGGCCAGCTCAGCCCACCAGGGGGCGGGGCTGGCTGGCATGTGGTGCTGGGGGATCGAACCGTGGTCCCTGTGCTTTGGTAAGCTTGTTCTAAGTAGGTGCTTTAGACCACTGAGCCATCTCACCAGCCCTGTGGGGACATTTTTAAAATAAAATTTCTCAGAGTGGTTACTTCTGCTCAGAGTCCTAGCTAGTAGGTTAAAGCAAGCTGAAAGTGGACAAGAAGCAATCAATGGCTGACACTTTTTGATGTGGTTTATTGAGACAGGATCTTGGCTATGAGGTACAGGCTGGCCAAGAACTCCAGCAATCATCCTGCCTCAGCCTCCTGAGTGCTGGGGTCACAGACATGCATGCCATGCCCTGCTGGCTCACTTTTAAGTGGCCCCTTGGCAAGAAATACCTACTGTCTCTGCCTGAGACGGACAGTTACCCACTTGCTTCCTTTCAGTTCTGATTCCTTTCACAAGGTAGTTGGCCACTGCTAGGTCTTTTCTGACCTAAAATGCACTCCCAGTTGGCAGATGGAGCCCAGCACGACGCTTGCTGCAGTCAGCCTGCAGCGTGCACAGCGACTCACACTCTCTGTGAGTGTCGGCACTGAATAGGGCTTTCACGCCAAGCTGCACCACAGCCCTTTGGCGTAGGGGGCGGGGGGCGGGGCTTAAGCAGTTTCACTGCATGGGCTGGGCCCACACTCTGCTTCTCCTGCCTCAGCCTCCTGGAGTGCTGAGACTCCAGCCACGTGCCACCACACCAGCATCTTCCTTCTTGTGATGGCTTCGCTATGTTGGCAAGGCTGACCCCAATTCCCTAGCCTCGAGGGTCCTCCCGTCTCAGCCTCCCAAGCAGCTGAGATGACAGATGCGTGCCACTGCATCCAGCTGAATGCTGGCTTGTCTGAAACCTGCCGCTGCCCACGCTCATCCTGCACCATCGGCCTCGCGATGCCAGCACCACGCCGAAAGCCCCAACAGGCCGGCTGGGATTCGCGGGTGTGTGTTAGCAATGCCATCAATCAGCTCTATGAAAGCAACACACAAAGCACGTGGAGCAACAGCTGACCCACTTGCTAGTTTATTGATTTCCAAGGCAGTGTCCCTTCATAAGGACTGAAACCCTACATGGAGCTGTGCAAGCATGTATCACGGGATAAACCCGAGGAGGATGCGCGCTCTGACCACGCAGCAGTGGCTGGAGAAACATGAAGGCACATTTAAATACACGGTGGCAACACCACGCCCCCCGAATGAGACCACGTGAATGCGTGTGCCCGAGTCACAGCCAGGATCTGACAAGGGTGACATGCCTTTCCTACCACCCCCACAATACAATTTATCTGCTAATGCCGGAAACTTTAAAGCTCTTAATCCAGCTGGAAACACCACCACCTAAGCCCTTGGCCCAGGACCTACTTTCCCAGCCAGGAGTCAGCGATCGGGTTCATTTCTATGGCACAGAAAGCCTGGCCCGGCCGCACTCAGCAAGGTGACAGGACGGGCTAAGGTGCTCTGTGCTCAGGCTGCCGACTAGTCTGGTCCAACTCTGTGCCCGGGCCCCGAGTGTGCTGGGACTCGGCCAGCTGGGGGTAAAAGGGACCTACCAGCCAGTTGAGGGGCGTGTTGTTAACAAGGTAATCCATTACGTCATCTAAAGACTCCTTCATCCTCTGCAGCTGCCCTTTGCTAGAGGTCAGCAGGCTGTCAGACACTTCTGCAAAGGACGCCGCATTGCGGAACACGGAGTAGACGTCACCAGCCATCATGCCCAAGCGGCGGGCCTGGTCCTGGATGTCACGCGGCAGCCCCTGGACGCTGCCCAGCAGGGTGTGGCACGTGGTCTGCAGCTGCTGAGTCAGGCTGCGGGCAATGACGAGAGTACGGGACTCGATGTGCTAAAAATAAGACACACAAGAGTTAGAGCGGATCAAACGGGCCACGAACGAACGACCTCACTCCTGGGGGCTGAGTGTGGCTCTGCTGTGTACGTGGATTCGCGGACCTTTTAAAGCTGTCATCAGCACAGCAGGTGCAGGAAGTGGGTGCAGGCCAATGGTGCTAGCTAGGAATTCAAATGTCACAGCTCTGAACATGAGCTCGGTCTACACAACAGCTAGAAATAGCTGAGTGGGGTTCTGCAGTAATGCCCCAGTCTCCAAGGCTCATCTTAAGCTTGGAGAAACATAACAGGCAGGAGACCCCAGACAGAATGAAATGTCCTCCATGCTAGGAGCGTCATTTAGATTTTCTACCCTCAGGTGAGATGGCACGATGTGAAACCCGCAGTACAAATCCTTATGATGAATGTTATTGTTATGTATACCCAAAACGTACCAAACAAATTTATTCTTCAAAATGCCCCTGCTGGCTGTAGGGGTATGAAGAGCCACTTTGTGGAACTGTTACGTGCAACACGCGATTCCTCCCGTCCGAACTCCAGGCCTCTACTGCCCTCTCCTCCACACTCACTGCCCTCAGACCTGCATGCTGCACCTGCCAGCCGCCCTGGGACCCCCACCCCGGCCGGGGGGTCACACACTGTACCATAATGCTGCCACGTAAAGTCACTCACTTCCTCCCTAGTTCTGCTGTTCTGCCGCGGAATAAGCAACTTATATCCATCATATTGTTCAAGCTCAAAAGAAATTATTCTAAGAGAAATTAAGGGAAAACTGGAGTCTGACAGGAAGGCCCTCGGAACACGGAGGGCCGGGCCATGCTGGCCCGCTCACCTCCGCGCAGTGCGACTCATCGGAGTCGTCGTGGCCAACGCTTCTCTTCCACTCCACCCACGAGAGGTACAGCTTGTCCTGCGCATCCTGGATCTTCTGGTTGGCACTATGCACGTTCTTCCTGGCATATTCAATCTAGAACACAGTGAAGTAAGACGAGAGAACATACAGTCAGACTTTCGTGTCAGCCTGCTAAAACCCAAAAAGTAGGGCTGACGTAGCTCAGTGGCGAGCACTACCTAGCACACCCAAGGCCTCAGTTTAATCCCCAGTATGCCAAGAGGGAAAAAAAGAGAAAGAAAACAAAGGCAGAGAGGAAAGGAGGGGAGGAGGGAGAGAGGGAGGGAGGGAAGAAATACAGTAAAAACCAAGACTTTGAATGAGAACCATCCCGCCTTGTTATTTATCATCAATGCGTGTAGTCAAGCACACTGCAGCAGCTCTTTACTGCTCCTACGTAACTAATAACTAATTTAACCACTCACGCAAAATGTACCCTCGGTTTACCACAGGTGAGACCCTGCAACGCTTGTGCGTGAGTCAAGGACAGGCTGGGATTATAAGGAAGGGGATGGTTCTCATTTAAAGTCTTGGTTTTTACTGAATTTCTTCCCTCCCTCCCTCTCTCCCTCCTCCCCTCCTTTCCTCTCTTACTTTGTTTTCTTTCTCTTTTTTTCCCTCTTGGTATACTGGGGATTAAACTGAGGCCTTCCTCTTTCCTGCTACAGCTGCCAACTTCCTCTTCCAGGAATGTGTTTCACAGTGGGACAGTACACAACGTCCTTCAACGTGGCAATCTTCCAGGCCCCACAATAGGCCATTGTGAGGTACTAATTAGTCCTTTTTTTTTTTTTTCAGTACCAGGGATTGAACTCAAGACCCTGCACTCGCCAGGCAGGCGCTTACTCTACTGAGCTATCTCCCTGGCCCTAGTCCTTTACAGTTGATGCTAAACAAATCTGCACAGGCTTTTATCTGTAGGAAATCATCCTACAATTATAGCTGTTCTAGGTACAGGTGTGTTGACTGTATTTCCATTTATTTTACTGCTTTTTTAATGTATTTACACAGGGTCTACAGGTCTCCCTACATCACAGATCGGACTCATAGTGATCCTCCTGTTTTCAGCCTCCCAAGCACTGGGATTACAAGCACGCGCCACCACCCAGTCTCAACTGCCTGGGGTCTGGGCCAGCACGGCACACAGGGAATCGAATCCCCCGTCACTGGGCCTGCCTAAACAGGTGCTGCAGTCTGCTGAGCTACCTGGCTGGGCCTCACTGTGTTTCTAGAACAGTCCCTTGGTCCACTCCCATTCCTAAATGCACCAGAAATACACAGCACAGCTTTCTCAACCATTACCGACAGCACCGAAGTTGGTATCACAGCTCGAGGGAGGGGTCTCGACAGCTTAGAGTAAAACCAGCGACACTCAGGGCTTTCAGCTACTTACACTTTCTTTTCTCAGAGCTGTCCGTATGTTCTCTGCCTATTTCTTTTTCTTTCAAATTGCTTCTAAAAATCAAAATTCTTAGCCAGGTGTGGTGGCACAACCCTGTCATCCCAGAGGATCACTGAGTTCAAGGCTAGCCTGGGGTACAAGGTGAGTTCAAGGCCAGCCTAAACCGCATGGTTGGGGCTGGTGAGATGGCTCAGTGGTCTAAAGCACCTACTTAGAACAAGCTAAGCTAAGCAAAAACACAGGAACCGCAGTTCAATCCCCAGCACCACATGCCAGCCAGCCCGCCCCCTGGTGGGCTGAGCTGGCCACACACACACAAAATAAATGAATAAATAAATAAAAATTAAAAAAAAAAAAATAAACCGCATGGTTGAGACCCTGTCTCAAAAAGACCAAAATGAAAATTTCTTAAAAATCAGAATCCTGGCTTTCACGACTCCACTGCTCTCCTTTCCCGAGCTAGAAGGACCCCCTTCAAGCCCACTGAGTGTAGCCGTACTCACCAGGTGCACAGCCGAGTAGAGCTGAGAAATGGTCTCCAGGCCCTTCTGCCTGGCATCCGTCACCCTGCTGAGCGCCTGCTGGTAGGCCCGGGAGCGGAGCTTGCTGGACAGGGACCCCAGCCTGACATAGTAGCTCGGCTTCTGGACCATGTCGAATCCTTCTACTTTTTTTGCTTCTTTTTCTGAAGAAAATAAGGGCAAAAATTTTAAGCGATCAACACTGTGTAAGGAGGCCTGAAATCTCACCTGGGTCCTCGCTTGCTTCATTCGCCCACGAACCTAGCAGATGCACTC